TACACTTTACAGTAAACCCTGTGAAGCGCTTTCCTCCCAGCATGAAAGCTGCTGGATCAAATGCAAGGGTTCTTTGTTTTTTTTTATTCACTGATTCTCGCCCCAGACCCAGAAGATGAGGGAGAACACATCGAAACACAGACACACACGCGCACAAACAACACATTGCATTTATACAGCACCTTTCACGTTGGGAGTACATCCCAAGGCACTGGACAGTGAAGGGTTTACACCTGAGCTGAGGGCTGGAGTCAATGTGCACACACTAACACATAGTGACAAACATGTGAGCAAACACGCACACAGACACACAGATGCGCAAACACAAACAAATACAATAAATCCTCTCGGGAGCATTGGCTTGAAGGGCGTGGCCGAGTACAGTCAGATGGAGGTAAATTTGGTAGATTGATTTCTCTACAAGTAATGACTAGAAAATCTCGGAATAAGATTACTACCATCAGATTGTTCAAATAAATAATATTCTAAGCAGATGGTGGCTCACTGACGCTGATGGTGAATTAAGGAGAAATATACTCGTTTACAGTAGGGTGGGTGGAGGCAAAAGGTTGAAGATTAGACATGCTGCATATCTAACAATTAATATTTTTATACCACCTTCCTTCCTCAGGACCTGGGCATGACATGAAACACCAAGTTATTTAATAATAAGTATAATCCTTGCATTTGATATGCAAGATATCTCAGACACTCAATGAAGATGTTGATACATCTTGAATACATTTTAAATGCAATATATATATATATATACACACACACAGATAAATAAAAACACCCTCATTTCCTATCAATCCTTTCGCCCACAAAACATAGTCATTTCATTTTACAGTATATTCTCTGAAGCGCTTTGAGACGTCGAGAAGACAATGATTTAGACGCTCTATTAAATGCAAGGATTATTATTATTTTATGAATTGTCCACCCAGCAGCCATCAAACTGAAGTCTGCTGGTCCTGATGGCAGGGCTGGGCTGACAGAGACATTACCCTCACCGGGTCACACCCTGACCCAGGGCTCCTCTCGCTCGCGCTCTCTCCAGACTGAGGCACAGGAGCCTCACCCTGTCTCTGCAACGGGAATCTAAACCCTTTCACAGTGAGACGAGCCACAGGGAGTCAGGCAATGGTCACTGTATTATATATATAATATATATATATATAAAAACACCTCTCTCCCTCCCCACCGCCTCCACCCGACAAATGGCTCCTTCACCTGCCCCCCCCCCCGGGGCTGAATACAGCTGCAGACAATGAGGATTGGGCTGTTCTCTAACCACAGGCATTGTGTGTGTGTGTGGGGGGGATTGTGTGTGTGTGGGGGGGATTGTGTGTGTGTGGGGGGGGGGATTGTGTGTCGGGGGGGGGGGATTGTGTGTGTGTGGGGGGGGGATTGTGTGTGTGTGGGGGGGATTGTGTGTGTGGGGGGGGGATTGTGTGTGTGGGGGGGGGGGATTGTGGGGGGGGGATTGTGTGTGGGGGGGATTGTGTGTGTGTGTGGGGGGGGATTGTGGGGGGGGGGATTGTGTGTGTGTGGGGGGGATTGTGTGTGTGTGGGGGGGGATTGTGTGTGTGTGGGGGGATTGTGTGTGTGTCTGGGGGGGGGGGATTGTGTGTGTGTCTGGGGGGGGGGATTGTGTGTGTGTCTGGGGGGGGGAATTGTGTGTGTCTGGGGGGGGATTGTGTGTGTTTGGGGGGGGGATTGTGTGTGTGTCTGGGGGGGGGATTGTGTGTGTGTCTGGGGGGGGATTGTGTGTGTGTCTGGGGGGGGGGGATTGTGTGTGTGTCTGGGGGGGGGGGGATTGTGTGTGTGTCTGGGGGGGGGGATTGTGTGTGTGTCTGGGGGGGGGGATTGTGTGTGTGTGTGGGGGGGGATTGTGTGTGTGTCTGGGGGGGGATTGTGTGTGTCTGGGGGGGGAATTGTGTGTGTTTGGGGGGGGGAATTGTGTGTGTCTGGGGGGGGGATTGTGTGTGTGTCTGGGGGGGGATTGTGTGTGTGGGGGGGGATTGTGTGTGTGGGGGGGGGATTGTGTGTGTGGGGGGGATTGTGTGTGTGTGTGGGGGGGGATTGTGTGTGTGTGTGGGGGGGGATGTGTTGTGGTGTGTGTTTGTGTGTGGGGGGATTGTGTGTGTGTGTGGGGGTTGTGTGTGTGGTGTGGGGGGGGAGTGTGTGTGTGTGGGGGGGGGATGTGTGTGTGTGTGGGGGGGATTGTGTGTGTGTGTGGGGGGATTGTGTGTGTGGGGGGGGGGGATGTGTGGTGTGGGGGTGGGGATTGTGTGTGGTGGGGGGGATGTGTGTGTGGGGGGGGGATTGTGTGTGTGTGGGGGGGGATTGTGTGTGTGGGGGGGATTGTGTGTGTGGGGGGGGGATGTGGTGGTGGGGGGGGATTGTGTGTGTGGGGGGGGTGGGGGAGTTGGTGGTGTGGTGTGTGGAGGGAAGTATGGGGGTGTGGGTGTGTGGGGGATTGTGTGGTGTGTGTGGGGGGATGTTGTGTGTGGGGGTGTGGGGTTGTGTGGTGTGTGGGTGGGGATGTGGTGTGTGTGGGGGTATGGCTGTAGAAAGAGTCAGGGGTTTTGGCAGGGGTGAGGAGTGTTGAACCACATTGAGCACAAGAGCTGCGTCACCAATGGGACCAGCAGCGAGGATGAGGGGACAGCCACCGCTCACATACTGTTGTAATTTTCCTGGTGTGAACAGAAACAACAGAATAAAAAGACTTTAAACACAGCGTCCGAGATGAGCACTGTGATAGGCTGTCTATGCTGCTGGACTATACTGTGTTATTCGGTGCCTCGGAGCTCATCTGGTCTGGAGTTTGGCTGTTTTTGGTGGTGTTCAGACCGAGTGTGTCTCAGCATCATCAGTAAACTAATTAGCCACATCTGAGGTTCACACATTCACACACTACACACACACACCATACACACACGCAGCACGCCACACACACACAGAGCACACACTATACACACACGCACAGCACACGCCACACAGAGCACACGCCACACACAGAGCACACGCCATACACACAGAGCAAACGCGACACACCCACAACACACGCCACAAACCCACACAGCACACGCCACAAACCCGCACAGCACACGCCACACAGAACACACCCATCATAAGTTCAGCACCCACAAACAAGCACACACCCCACACACAGAGCACCACCCAGCAAACAAGGCAGGAAAAACAATGGATGTATCTGAAGGAATTGGAGAAATAGTTGGAGAGACAGAGCCTGAGGAGAGAAAGTGCTGTCTCACCCACAGCCCAATCGGTCACTGACAAATGGTTCTGAGCGAATAGATTCAAACAAAAATAGTGTTAAGAGAGGGCAAGAACGAGGAGATTAGAAAGTTCTCATTTCCTATGTGTTGTTACTGTTCCTTGCTCTTTCCCCAGCGAGTGTGCATGTCTGCAGGGAGCTTTTCCCCCACCATCACACCGGGTCACTTACCGCCAGCACTGGAGGGTCAGAACCCAGCGTGGGGGCCATGGGGAACAGCTCGTTAGCTGTCGGGGTAGCCGGAGCACAGTCAATGGGGGGTAGTGGGGGGGTGAAAAGGAATTAGATAAACACACGGGGAAGAAAGGGATTAGAGATTTCCGCACTCGGCTCGCAAGCGAGGACCTGGGTTCGATTCCCAGGCCGGTCAGGGCGAAAGATTAGGCAAGTTTCCTTACTCTGTTTACCTAGCAGTAAGTAGTAACCCGGTTGTTAGTTGATTAGCGGATGGCTTTCCGAGGGTAATGATCCTCTCAAAAATAAATAATAATAATTTGTTCACTCAAACCATGACTGTTTGTGGGACGCTGCTGTGCGCAATTGGCTGCTGTGTTTCACCCATAAAATATAGTCAATTCACTTTACAGTAGATTCTGTGAAGCACTTTGAGGGTCTCAAAGATGCGATGAGGCGCGATATCAAACACAAGGATTATTATTATTAATATCAGCAGCGGCAGCCAGCACACATCCACACCAGGACACGACTTGCCCAATAATGTCAATTATTACTTTTAATTCGATAACGTTAAAAATCAACATTTACTACACATTTACAACCGAGCAACAGCAACGGCATTGAATTGCATACCCCGACACAGCCTGGCACAGGGTCCGAGGGTTAGACACCCGGTCAGATTAACTCGGCTGAAAGGGGAGGCCGGGAAAATTGGGTTTCGGAACATGCAGTCTCGGGGCAGGAGTTGTGACCCCTTTAAGAGAGAATAAATAGTTGGAGGGAAAATAATAGTGAAGGGTTTGAGGTGTGTTCCGAGACTGTACCCCACGTAAAGGGCACTATATAAATGAAAACTTTTATTGTTGTTGAGGGAGGATATACAAATGTAATTTGTTGTTGTTGAGAAGGGGAAAGGGATTAGAGTTTACAGTCAATTGACTCTACATTATATTCTCTGAAGTGCTTTGGGAAGTCTCAAAGACATGATAAGGCACTCTCGTTTTTACCAACAAGTTCATTAAGACACAAAGTGGTGTGGGCCAGGCCTGTGGGCCAGGCCGTCATTCAGCCACAACGATAGAAACAAAATACATTCAGCAAAACACACGGGGGGAGGGAAGGAGTTGTGAGCGGTGATGGTCAGTGCGATCACAATGTTCGCCTCCTGTCTGAACCATGTGCCGATGTCTCTGAGGCATGTGTCACACCACGTGCCTGTGTGAACACAGGGATAATGAACCACTGGAGGCGAATGGAACCAGCCAGCGGGACTGGGGACTGGGGACTGGGCTGGGGGCTGTGGTGGACTGGGGGCTGGGCTAAGGGCTGGGGCTATGGACTGGACTGGGGGCTGGGCTAAGGGCTGGGGCTATGTACTGGACTGGGGGCTGGGCTAAGGGCTGGGGCTATGGACTGGACTGGGGGCTGGGCTAAGGGCTGGGGCTATGTACTGGACTGGGGGCTGGGCTAAGGGCTGGGGCTATGTACTGGACTGGGGGCTGGGCTAAGGGCTGGGGCTATGTACTGGACTGGGGGCTGGGCTAAGGGCTGGGGCTATGTACTGGACTGGGGGCTGGGCTAAGGGCTGGGGCTATGTACTGGACTGGGCGACAATGGGTTGGGAGTTTGGAGGAGTTAGTGACACATTGGACCATAAATGACCACTGAGGTCGAGGTCATAAAAACATCTACACTAGAATTGGACAAACACTTTTAATAGGAACGATATTAAAGAGAATGGGAGAAAGAGCTCCAGTGGGGGAGCGAGCACCAGCACAGACACAGTGGGTTGGGTGTACTGCCATATCTTGGGTTGCACCCAGCTGACGAATCGATGGATGGTGGAGGGATGAGGCGGGGGGGGAGAGGGGAGGTGGGGAGGATCTCCGCTGACACTGAAACGACACCAGTGTGGAAAGGGAGCAATTGGGTGTCGTTGATGGTGTTGGTTTAACCCAGAGAACGAGGTCATCAGTGGGGAGGGTTTTCCCTCCTAAACGGTGTGAGAAATGTCAGAGCTCTCCATTACCAGGTGATCTCATTAATCCATCAGTCACCACTGGTGTCTCTGTGTCTCTTTCTCTTTGGACGCACAGCGCCTCGGGAAGCCCTTCTGTGAAAGGTGCTATTCAAATGTAATTTGCTGTTGTTGTCTCTCAGAATTTGAACGATGTGCTGAGCAGCGTTGTGTAGGGAGCCCACCCTGTCCAGGACCCTCCTCTCAGCCCCTCACGTCCACACCTCCATGGGGACCATCCTCTCCTTGGTGCTGAGGGGGGGCAGCAGGGTCTCCTCAGACAGGAAGTAGAGCGGGAACTGCAGTAGGAACCCCCGAATCTTCTTCAGTTCCTCCCGGGCGCGGCCCTCGTCTTCCTTCTGCAGCCCCGGTTTCTGGTTGAACTGCGCCAGCTCCTCGTTGTTCCTCACCTCGTCTGACGGAAGGCACCGGAAAACCTGAGTCACGGGAACAAACCCTCGCAATGTGAGCCAGGCCAGGGTAACGAGGCCCCCCCACCCCCCTCCCCAGACAGTGAGTCCCAGATGGTATCGCCCATTGCCTCAGCCAGGTGTGGACTCTGCCATTGTTTGGGCATAGAGAGGGGGGGATTTAGAAAACCTTTTACCCTCAAATCTTGCCTATAAACATCACCTAGCGTTTCACAGGGATTTTCTGCTCAGTGTAGTGACTGTGTATTTATAGCCACATGTCAATTTGCACACAGCTAGGTCCCGCACCTGCGCCCACACACACACACACACACAAACAAACAACAACTTGCATTCATATGGCGCCCTTCACGCAGAGCGTTTAACAGTGGCAGAGCCTGAATCCGATGGTTTTCAGGCGGAACTTGAAAAAGGGGACTTGTGGGAGAGCGGTCCAGAGTTTGGGGCGCAGTGGCTGAAAGCGCGACCTCGAATGGTGGAGAGACGAGCAGGACCCGAAGCCGGAGATGACCGGTGGTGGATTGGGGAGTGAGGAGGTCGGAGACGTAGGGCGGTGCCAGGGAGTGAAGGGATTTGGACACGAGTGTGAGGATCTTGATGTTTATCCGTTTGGTGATGGAGAGTCAGTGGATCCTGGCCAGAACTGGTGAGATGTGGGTACGGAGTATGTGGATAGCACAGCCCTGAGTTGAACAGCCAATTTATCTGGGGAATTATCAGCCAAAACACTGAGAGACTTCCCAGAGAGAAACTCCCTCCTTTTTGTCAATTGCGACTTGGAAACATCTGCTTAAACAGATCTCAACTGAACGTCTCACCTGAAGGACGGCAGCTCTGACAATGTGACGCTCCCTCCAGCACTGTGCTGGAGCGTTAGCCGAGCCCATGAGCTCAAAGTCCCCAATGCGGTGGTGGGGGGAGGGGGGGGGGGGGCTCGAGCTCACAACTTCCCAACTCGGAGGAGAGCGACTGAGCTTGGCTAACGCCAATGGGAAGAAGTCACTTTAATGGGAAAGGGAAGCGGTTTGGGAGCAGGGGAGACGGGAGCACGTTAGCTGCCGGGTGTGAACGAACCTTCTCGTATATGGTGGCGTTCCTGGCGCTGGTCGCGATCCAGACTTCCTTATAAAACCTCTCACTGATGGGGTCCTGCACGTCGATGCTGGGGTCACTGAAAGCTCCCAGAATTAGCCTGTCAATCAATCAGTCAATCAATAACTCAAGCTCAGGCGTTTCGGCCGGTGGGAGGTCAGTTGTGCGGGCGGGTGGGGTTCTGTGGGGCGGGCGGGGCCCTGTGGGGCGGGCGGGGTTAGCGAGCGCAGTGGGAGACACACTCACTTGAAGCAGTACAGTCGGAGCCGCAGAGCGAAGGGCCCGGCCTGATATTCCGCCCCGTCCATGACAGAGGGGACGGTGGCCGTGTCCTGGACGATGACGGCCATCTCGCTGTCCCGCTTGCCCAGCATGCTGCGGTCATTAATGTTAGCGGAGCCTGAGACACACACAGGCCGACGGTCAACACGTTTCACTACAGCAGCAGCAACAACCCCAATCCCCACTGGGCAGCTGAGCATCACCCCATCACCACAATCACAACACCCACCCCCCAGCTCCCCACACAGCGTTCCCCCCTCCCAACTCCCCCTCCCAACTCCCCCCCTCCCCCGCAGCTCCCCAGGGGTGGACTGACCGATGATGACAGTGTTATCGTCTGCAATGAGCATTTTACTGTGGACGTAGATGAGCTCAGTGACCAGCTTCCCCTCCAGGTCCGCATGAGTGCGCAGCCCACACACCGAGAAATAGTTAATCCACAGGTCTCCCACTGCAACACAGGACAGGGCATTACAGTGTCACATACACACACACTCACACACACACAGCGTCACACACACACACACACACACACACACACACACAGCGTCACACACACACACACAGTGTCTCACACACACACACACAGCGTCACACACACACACAGCGTCACACACACACACACAGCGTCACACACACACACACAGCGTCACACACACACAGCCACACACACACACACACACACACAGCGTCACACACACACACACAGCGTCACACACACACACAGCGTCACACACACACAGCAGCTCACACACACACAGACTAACACACACACACAGCGTCACACACACACACACGTCGCCACACACACACACACAGCGTCACACACGCACACACCACAGCGTCACACACACACACACGCAAAAAAAACGCCCCCCCACCACCCCTCACCGTCCCACATTAAACACCCTCACACTGCCCCCCACCCCATCACCGTCTCCCCACAGTAACACCCTCACACTGCCCCCACCACCCTCACCCCCACCCAGTAACACCCTCACACTGCCCCCCCACCACCACCCCTCACTCTCCCCACAGTAACACCCTCACACTCCCCACCACCCTCACTGTCTCCACAGTACACCCTCACACTGCCCCCCCACCACCCCTCACGTCTCCCCACAGTAACACCCTCACACTGCCCCCCCACCCATCACCGTCTCCCCACAGTAACACCCTCACACTGCCCCCCCACCACCCCTCACTGTCCCCCACAGTAACACCCCACACTCCCCCCCACACACCGCTCCAGCTCACCCCACACTGCCCCCCCACCCCCTCACCGATCTCCCCACAGTAACACCTCACACTGCCCCCCACCACCCCCTCACCGTCTCCCCACAGTACACCCTACACTAACCCTCCCCCACCCACCCTCACCGTCCCCACAGTAACCACCCTCACACTGCCCCCCACCCCATCACCGTCTCCCCCAGTAACACCCTCACACTGCCTCCCCCCACCACCCCTCACCGTCTCCCACAGTAACACCCTCACACTGCCCCCCCACCCATCACCGTCTCCCCACAGTAACACCCACCTGCCCCACCTCACCGTCTCCACAGTAACCCTCACACTGCCCCCCACCACCCCATCACCGTCTCCCCACAGTAACACCCTCACACTGCCCCCCCACCCCATCACCGTCTCCCCACAGTAACACCCTCACACTGCCCCCCCCCACCACCCCTCACTGTCTCCCCACAGTAACACCCTCACACTGCCCCCACACCCGTTCCCCACTCACCACACTCCCCCCACACCATACGTCTCCCCACAGTAACACCCTCACACTGCCCCCCCACCACCCTCACTCGTCCCCCACAGTAACACCTCACACTGCCCCCACCCCTCACCGTCTCCCACAGTAACACCCTCACACTGCCCCCCCCCACCACCCCCTCACCGTCTCCCCACAGTAACACCCTCACACTGCCCCCCACCCATCACCGTCTCCCCACAGTAAC